CAACCAAAGCTCATAGCCTACTGCCCCTTTAATACACAAAGCCTGTTCTTCATCTGTGGTCCTCTAGCCATTGCCTTCTGACCAATGGAGTTACAAGGTGCTCTCTAATTTTATAAGTGGACATAATTGAGAAGAGCCTGAATTGGGCCAAATCTAAAGTTCACTGCGAAGACCAAATAAGTCTTGTCAGCAGTCGCCATGAAGACAAGCTGAAAATGGCCTCACCCTTCTGATCCCACTTACCTGAACCACCAGACTATATCATTATCCCCACTGAGGGAATTATTTAAAAGGTTCCTAAGAGGGATCCCAAAATAATCTCTACAAGACAGCCATATCCTCCAAGGTCCATTGTCATATACAGAAAATAGAAGAACTTCTTCATATTCCAAGAAAGACTATCCAGCCTTTTGGAAGCCATTCATATCAGGCTGAGAAAGAGCTGGCAGGGTGATGGAAAGCTCCCAAGCCCGTAGTTGGGCAAATGAGGGCCAACCCCCAAGATTGCTTGTTTTGCATCTGTGATATAGAGTGAGGGGGAAGTGGCAGAATATAAGCTTTTAAGTTCACCACAATTACAATAATATCACAGAAAGTGTGCATCTAGACAAGATCGTACAAAACTAAAAATAAGTAGTTGCGTTAAAATAGTGGGGTGAAGGAGGTGATCTATTAGTCTAAATATCAAAATATTATAATAGGCATTGGGACTCCTTTTTTATTTTTGGCTTGCTCTCATAAGACAGCATGTTTTGAATGCATCTATGTGGGCCACGTTTTAGATAAATAGGCAGGTACCTTTAACAACAATTAAGATACTTCTGAGAAAGGAAGGAAAGGGGGTTCTGAGGGTCAGGATATGGAAGAAGATTGGGGGGAAAAAAAGATAATGTGAATCTACTGAACCAGAACAAGGGGACCAGGCCTGTAAAACAAACTGAACACAGAGCGTGGTTAGGTGCTAGTGAAATCAGTTTTTAAAAGTACTTTTACGGGGTGCCTCTTTTTAAAAAGCCAATTAACATCCTAGGAGCCTCTTTAAATGGGCCGCTCTGCTTGACCCTGTTGCAAGGTCTGGTTGCTGCACACATAGGCTGAGGCCTTCTGGGAACACCAATCTGCAGGTTGGCTGCCCAATGATTGGCTCAGTCAATCATGCTCTCCTGTTACCCCCAGGGTCTTCCTAGTAGAGAAGTGAGTCCCCGTTCATCCAATCTACCCAATAATTCAGGGAAAGTCAGTCAAGCAAGCTGATCAGCATCATACAAACTGAGCCAACTCCATGGTGTCTAAATGTTCACTTTTCAGCAGACTGCTTCAATGTTTTATAGAAGACGTCATTAGAGTGCCGTTAGACATCTTGTACACTGTGACTGCTCCCTGTAGTCACAAAACAGTCAGCTTTATCCACTGCTACACTCCCACCAACTTTGGACACAGGAGGCAAATTGATAAAGATGGGATGTTGTCATGGGAGCAGACTCTAACACCCATAATAAAGGCCCCAGGGATCTGGTCTTAGTACCCCCACCAGCTATATCCCTTAGCCAAAATTCTGAAGACCCCAAGGAAGCCATTTACAGGCTCCTACTGATTTTCTTTATGGTCTCGTCCTTAGGAGGGCATCTCCCACCCCACCCTCAGCTTTCACAGACTCCAGGTAAACCTGCTGACCTCTAGGCACAGCTGATTCTCCCCTGTCATCAGAATCTGAGGGTTGAAATGGATCTGAAAGACAATCAGACTCAAACTCCTTTGTCCAGCTGAGGAAACTAAAGCGCAGAGAGGCGGCATGTGTTGCTCTGGGCACGTAGCTTTGCCCGAGCTAGAAAACCAGTTCCTTTACCGCCAGTCCCAGGCACTGTACCCCACACTGTCCCGTCCACAGTGTGCTCCGATCACACTAAAGGTGAATCTGAAATTCGTCAGGGGAAATTCTTAAGAAATATCTTTTTTTACCCCTCTTGAAGTCCAATAAACTTTTTATCAAATAACTCTGAGGAATCCATGGAAATTTCTACTCTAGGGCATCTCAGCTTCTGGACATCAATGTCATTCAGCTGGAACATATTTCTAACATTAGTGCCATTCTCCCCACTGTACTACTTGTTTCTTGCACAGTTTAATACTCTGGTCCTTTAAAATGCTGTCCAATTTAAATAAACATAATAGTCACATATTTCTAATAAGAGCACAATTGCCTGCTCCTTAGGACAAATCATATTATTTAAAATCTTATTTTTAAAAATGAAATAAGAAAACATTCAATAGAATTTATCGTTCCCATCTCCATAGTTACTCAACAGATTTAAGAGAATCCTGGCAAGACAAGGCTCCCTTCCTGCCTCTGTCTTCAGATGACAATCCCCAACACAGATTTGGCTTACCCAAGCTGAAAGCCACCGCACTGGGTCAGTTACCCAGCAAAAAATCCAGCTTGAGAACGTGTGGTCCCTAAACACCAAGGCCGCAGCGCAGTCCTTGCCTCCCGACCAGGGCCCCATCCACAACCGAAACGATTGTCACTTTAATTCTATAAGAAAGCCATTTTTATAAGAGAAATGGGCTGAACCACAGCAAGATGGTGTCCCCAAAAATCAGGCTCTAACTCTATATTTGGTTCCTTAAAACGGCGTCATGGCCTCTCAAGTGTGTTAGCAGGTTCCAAATTCTTGGTGTCCACCCACCCAGAGGTCTTTGAACATCACATCTCTTTGAACGGACTTAGGAATGACTCCATTTGAGGCAGGGGGAAAACTGGATAACTTTTTAATGATTTGTATAAATCTCCATCTGTGCTTGATGCTTTAACGCTGAAGAGAGTTCTTAACGCTGGGCTTTCTGAAAAACAAAATGGTCTAGAACACAACCCAGGGCTAAAATCCCCTGATTTGGAGGCAGGGGTAAGTGGTGTGAGGAGGAAATAAAACATGACAAGATTCACGAAAGCTAAATTCCTCTTTGTAGCAGTGAACTTTGGCCCACAAGTACTCACATTCTGACCTGAGACCTGATACGAATTCCTTCCAGTTTCCAATTAGCTAAATGAACACAGTTGAGTAAATATTTTAACCTCTCAATTTTCATTTTGTCGCAGCCTCTCAAGGAGTCAAAAAGATATAGAAAGGGGATCTGGGTAAAGTTAGTAAATTACTGGGAGCATTATCATGCAATAAGTGTGAGGGTACAAGTCTTCTCAATCCAGAAAGGCCTGAGGCATTTCCATTTGGGGGAGCTCACAATATATTTTAACAAATAAATAAAAATGTTAGAAAAGGGTTGTTTGACTTTAACCAATAGATGCTTACAAGCACAAAAGAAAATGCAACCTTGAATTTGAGACCTTTTATACAAATGGCACCTGGATCAAAGGCAGAACCCTGTCCACGACCACCCTACGAAGCTCCTGACCGATGCTGCCACCTTGAACAGTGACGCAGAGAGTTTGCAGCACAGTTGTCCCCTCAAAGTTACTTTCTTTTAAAATGCCTCGTAAAATACTTTGGAAACATGCAAAAGGATTGTCTCCATTATATTTATGTTTTAAAATGTGATTACAAACTTCCAAACAACCCTCATTTCACGTTTCGTCGCTGTTTTTAATACCTATCCACATAAGCCATTAGCGATTGGTAGGGAAGTGACATGACCCCATAGGCTTCCGATTAAAACATGGAATTAATGAACTATTTTATAGTCTTAGAATTCCAGGTCTCAAAAATAGGATAAGTGGGGCCTTCTGCAAACTCCAAATGAAGCTATTAATGTCACTCTCAAAATTTCTTAAGAGCCTTTTCTGATAGTATTGCTTATCCATGCAGTTCATCCCAATAACATGACTTCATCTTTCCTGCTAGAAATTGCCTCTTCCCTTGACCTTAGTAGAATCAGCACACAGCCATTCATGATCCCAGCTACCCTTTTATACGGTGACAAGCTCTACCGGCGCACATCCCCACACCTGGGCCTACAGAATCAACTCCTGAATTAGACCTCCATCAGAAAGTTCTCAAAATCCAAACATTCACTTTCTACCTGCTACCAAGGTGATAAACCAGCAGAGACATCCATGCACTAAGACTCACAGACTCTTGCTCTTCGTCTTAAAAATCACATGCTCCCATAATACTGGGAGCATACTAAATCGGGGCAAAGACAGATGGCAAAAATGTCACTTTCTCGACTTGGTGTTGTTATTTACCAACACCAAGGTTAATTCTCCTCTGTTCCCAGCTCCGTCCACCCTGGGGCCAATATTTCTCTATGGTGTCCAAACAAAATCAAGAGTCCCTGACTTAGAAGGCATTTGGTGCTGCTGACTCACGTCTACCCGTGTGGTCATAGTAGCCCATTATAGAACAAACAAAGGCTTAGTTTGTCACCTTGCGATATGGAGAAACTCTTTGCCAAAAAAAAATTTTTTTTCTGGACAAAGTCACTTTTCGATGTGCAGCTCTCTGCAGTGCCCTTGTCTTTCTGGACTGCCTGACCACTTTTACCAGTATGGATATGAACACCCTTGCTTATTTCCAGCCATTTTCCAACACCAGAATATATTAAAAATAACTTTGCCTTTCCCTACGACTAAGTCAGAAAAATGACCAACAGAAGACATTTCCAGAAAGTAAGAACATGAGCCCCAACAGCTATTGAGCCAACCAGTTCTTTCCCAAGCGAGCTGCCTATTTGGTTCAAAATTCAACCCAGGGAAATGGCTTTGAGACACAGATAGAAGAAAACCAGGGGCTTGTAAATTCACAGTGACTGGAAGTCCACACCCAATGCAGGGAATTCACAGGTAACACCCAAAATAGCCTAACTGCCCCCCAAAATACAATTCTATTAAGACCCAGTGAGGTGAGCTCAGGTGAGGCGAGCTCACTTCCTGCCAGCTGCCTCCGGGAGTCTGCTTTAGTTTCACCTGATTCAAAGCAGACTTCTCTTTCCACTCAAGTGGTTGAACTCCAGATTCAAAAGAAGTTTTAAAAATAAGGACTTACCTCATTTACTAAAGATTCTGGGTGGGAAATCCAATAGCTGTGGCTAATGGAGGGGCGGCAGCAGGCAGCCCTCACACCAGCTCCTACGAGGATGGGGAACCAGGGGTGTTATTGTGTCTGAGCTCTCATCAGAATGAAGATAAGTGCATATGACAATAATTTTAAATCATTTTGTAGGATGTTAGGCAATAAGCCACCAACCGGGAATTCCCTAAGTCACTTCCCCCTCTTCTGATTGGCTGCCGGGCCCTTTAAAAAAAATAAAATAAGGGATTACAAACATTGGCTCATTTGCATTTGGCCAACTCACACGTTAGTGTTCAAACAAAACAGGTCTAACCAGGTTATGCCTGTGTCTCAGGAACAGAGAGACAACCTGTTAATGGATGAGGAATTGATTTGGTGGTGACTGTTCTTTTCAGCTTAGAAGCTGTTTCAGGTGAAGAGTACCATACGTGCTCCCCAAAGACACCATCAGGAAGGGAGAGTGTAAAAGCCAAGTGAACAGAAATTCAAATCTGGAGAAGATAATGGCATAGAGGAGTAACATCTGTCACACGTACTAATCTATATTTAGTCCAGTCTGTTTTGGCAGCCAGGTCTTTGCCGACTCTGCAGGCACCACTTTCTGAAGGGGCTCCCGGCCAGGTGGCCCACAGACAACATAGGTTCTCTTGTTAGGGGCCATGGTCGCCTCTTTGAGAGTGGCCCTTGGCAGTTTCAATGGACTTTGAAAAACCAGGCTCCCCTGGTTCCAGGGAAGAGACTTGGGAGAACGTTTAAAGGGAGGGTCCCTGGAGAGGGGATCCCTTCTGAACAGTCAACTCTCAAAAATGCAAGAGCTGACTATCCAGTAGTCGGATTATCTAGGTTCTTTACTTCCTCTTGACACTTCCATTGTCTTTCTAACTCTGTGTAATGACACTCCCTATAAGAGTTAGGAGGAGAAGACCAAGATGCTGAAACTGAAAATAAAACAGCACGGTTTTAGCAAAAGCCCCTGCGGAGGATCTCTGGATTTTAAATGGCCCTGCAGTCGCCATCCTCTTGGGACAAAGGGTCTGCTCCCCTGGATCACCAATGCACACCAACCCACACAGGTGAGGGACTGTTCCTGGCAGGGACAATTCCCTCCCCTAACCATTAACGTTCTCTCAGGTCTTTCTGGCCACTGGCCTGGTGTGAGCCAAGCGTCAGAGCAGATTCTTTAACTCAACAAGCCGCCCCTCTGTGGGAGAGGAAAGAGAAATTGAGTTTTGGCAAAGAAACAAAGATTTTATGATCAAAACCAAGAAGTTCCTTGTGTGAAAAAGAATAGTCGGCATATGAGCGAAGACTGAATTCAACAAAAAGTAAGTTGTTATGTTAAGTTGAGTGAGCAGTAGTAACTTTCCTTTCTTTCTTGCTTGTTCTCCTAGTTTATGCAGCACAATGCTAAATTTTCTGAAGATGGAGAAGACTTGGTGGGAGGACAGGGGTGGATTTGGGAGGATCTTGGAACCCAGGCAGGTAGAGAAGGGTTTAAAAGTTTATGAGTACAATTTTGGGAGTCTCTAAAAAGCCCCTCTCCCTCCTTACCTTCACTAAACATTTTCCACCATCCCCTCTCTTCAGTCCTGTATTTCCCAAGGGCCCTATAAAATGTAAATGCCTGATAAAAACAGTAAATGTCATTATTGCTCATTATCACATTAGCCCCAATTAGCGTATCAGCTCCAGATCTGAGAGCCAGGCCCTGAAGGAACAGCCAGGTGACTTTTCTTTCTTTCTTTCTTTTTTTTTTTTTTTTTTTTTTTTTTTGCTTGAGTGATGAATCATGTGTAGCAACTGAAGTAGCAACTCCACCCACTGCAGGGCGTGTGTGTGTGTGTGTGTGTGTGTGTGTGTGTTGGGGAGGTGGGGTATTATTAGTGCCAGTGGGACTCCTATATAGTGTTGCCTGAGATTAACCTGAAGACAGTAGCAGGGACAACAGCAAGGACAGCAGGGAGGTGGACAGGGGTTGTATGGTCCAGAGGTGGTGAACTTCAAAAGCAGCTCTAAAAGTGACGTCACTCTCTGGGCCAGTGCCAATCGCCTTTAGGTATAAGCCCTTTATTTTCTAGCTGAAAAGCTTCAGTTGCATCTCCATCTTGTTATCCATCTTATCCCGCCCATTTGAGATCAGAGGACTGCTCTTTTAAGACACTCCTGAGAGGTCATTTTGGGATGGTGGAGATGAAAGGAGGTGGAAAGATGTCACCTCATACTCACAAGCCACTGTATCTGTGGAGTTTTTATGTATATAAAGTACTTAACAATGTGTCTGGTATTTAGTGGGTACTTACTATTGGTTCTCTTCTTTGCCTGGCACTTAGTTGAACCTCCCAGAAGGAAAACAAAAACAACACCCCTGCCCTACCCCCCAAAAAACTAGATTTTTAGACATGCTGCATGAATAGAGAAATTCCTTTGGAGTATGTATGTATGAGGTCTTTTACCTTATGGTCAACTTCAACAAGATAACACTTGCATCAAGATAGATGATAGATAGATAGATAGATGATAGATAGATCTGATAATTAACTGAGAATGCTACTAGTTGAATTTGATGCAGAGGCCTTTCGTTGGAAGAGTCTCAAATACTTAGTCATGTCTCTTATAGATAAGAAGTTTAAAAGTATAACCACAAAAATATTAAACATACCAGAACCTTTGTATGAACACATTGTTAGTTTCCTAAAAGTCATAATCTTCTTGAGTAGGAATTTCTCTAGGCAAGAGCGTCACCATCATGTCAGACTCCAACCCTAGAATAGATTGCATTTGTTCTAGGATCCCAGGATTCCCTGGGAGAGACTGATAAAGATACAGGCAAAGAAGTCAAGTGATGAGAAAAAGCTCATTGCCTGGGTTTCAGGGACAGGAACATTTCAAAGAGTAAAGCAAAGCAGCTTGCCCTTAGGTCAAGATCAGAATAACACGGGGAACTGGAACTAACTCCGCAGACCCAAATGCTCTGTGTAGAAATCTTCTTGGTCTTCCCTACAGATCAAGGCCCTATAACTGCCCCAGACTTGCACAAAACCCCAGAGGATTTGATGGAGTCCTGATGCTGGTTCCTATTGTGGAAAAAGGGGCAGAGCAAACTAGGCTAAGTTGTCTGTGGCAGCCTGGGGACTCTGCTTTTGGTTGGATTATTTACTAGAAGATATATATCACAGAACCAAAGAAGCCAAGGGACCTTAATTCCCAAATCAAGGCCAAGACAAAGAATCACTCTAAGCCAAGTATCAAGCCCTAAGGGGTCTGAGTCTTAATACCAACTCAGGCTGTGGTTACAAGGTTAATGAGAGTTGTTTTGCTTGCTTTGCAAGAAAGAGGATGCTTGCTTGGTTTACACAGCACCTTTTAACTAGAAGCCCTATATTTATTTTTGAAAGCAAGTGTGTGCTTATATGTGTTTCTGTCTATCATCCCCCACCCGATGACATGGAGTTACCTCCAAGGCAGAACCTGACAAATATTTAGTGAGAGCCACATATGAATATTACTGTAGGACTGACAGGAGCAAGAACTTCTGTCTAATATGGAGGAGGGTGTAATGTAGAGTAGAATATTATCATCAATCATCTTGGATAGCATCAACTAAGGAATTAAGGTTAATAAACATGATCTTGTCTCTTACCCTACTCCCCACTAGATGTCACATTTTCAAAAATCTTTAGATTTTGGCTTCAACTAGATTCCTGATGCACTTCAAATCTTCTTAGGGAAGCATGGTATCTAAAAGTGGCACCTGAGTTTTGTTTGGGAAGTCTGATATTGACAGCTGTCCCAACAAATTTGCGTGGCACCATCTGATTGTGTCTTTGCCATCAAGTTGTGCCTACACATTGAGCAAATCCTCTCCAATGGCCCATACCAATGAATTGCTGGGGTGAAGGACAACCCCAGTGCTGGAGTAGGGGAGGATGGCTTGCCATTTTTGGAAGGAATGACCCATTGCGCACATACACACACAATCTTACTATGTCTCCAATCTTACCTACCTACCAAAGGTGAATTTTCTAACTCCCCTTTATATTTTTAATTCTCCTCAAGACACTGCCATTCGTGCCTAACTTAACTCACTCCTGTGCCATTCCTTCTGCCTCACCTCTATCTTATTATTCTCTTTCTGGCCTTATCTTCCCTCACAAATAGCTATACATAGCACCCTGACTTAATGCCAGCTTCACGGCCAACTTCACTTTGAATCAGACTGCTTGGAAGTCTAAACAGTTTTCCAGAGTCCTCAGGAAGTCTCATTTCTCAATCTCAGAGTGGGAGGCAAGACCAGGCAAAAATTGACCTATTCTAAGCAGCCTTTTGGCAGCTAGTACTTTCCTCTTTTTGTGTGTGAGTTTCTCTTCATTTTAGCAGTTGGTTTTACACGTTATTTTAGCATAAGAACTCTGTTTCCGTCATCATGGAACCCACCAAATATAAAACAGTCTAAAGAGACACTGCTGTACAGGTACTGGAGGGAGGCAGCTGCAACCTTCTGCCATCGGCTGCCCTGCCTCTCATCCACAGGCACTCAGCCTTTCCTGCCACATTGTCCTTTGAACTCTGTGTCCTGGCTCTAAGCCAGTGGAGCATCAAAATCACCTTCACAAGTTCAGATTCTTGAGTTCCTCCCCACACCTACCAAATTGATACCTCCAGTGGGTAGAGTGATAGTAGAGACAATAATCAATTTTGCATCCATCACCATCCATTTAGATTGTGCAAAAAATAAACCAGAAGACTTCCATATCATTCCACAAAAAATAAACCAGAAGACTTGGCTCTTACCCTCCAAGGAGACAGTTTAAGTGAGCCTATCTTGGATGAGGGTCTCAATGCTTGGTCTCTTTACCCAGAGACCATGAGAGAGAGCAAACTCTCAGACCCAGCTAGAAAATGTGTAAAATTGCCATCTAAATGTCTACTTATGTGGGAGAACCTGTGGTATTGGAAGACTAGGGATGCTCAGAAGCTATTTCTTCACCCTAAAAAAACAAGGTGGCTCAGATGTCTCAGAAGTAGCCTGGTGTGGTAGAAAGGAGATAGGTTTTTATGCCAGACAGATCAAGATAAATCTTGTCACATTTACTTA